AGCGCATGTCTTGAAGCTCTCCGCTTAATGTCTCGGAGACCAGCGACATCACCCTTTCGAAAGCTGCCGTTTCCGTGCCTGAATTCCCACATTGGCGAGTCTGGAGACCCTGTGTGAAATACGTCGCTCACTTTGTGGAAGCCATACATGTTTAGCTGTCTGACAAACGACGATATATTGGTATGCTTGAAATATTGCCTATACAATTTATTAGTTTGAAACGAAACACAGCCGTATGCATGAATCACTAGACAACTTACGATAAGACCTTTGAAAAGTCCGAAGAAGGAGACATGACGAAGCTCTCGTTGGAGCTTGACCATGATATCAAATGCTGGATGCTGGGGTCCTGCAGCATACTGTAGAAAAAGCCGTTAGCAGGTCCGCGCATATCATTGCAAGTAGTGTCACATCATGAAAAGGGGAGGGGTGGGCTCAAACCTGTATAGTTTATGGATAAAAGCCGTCTGGACGACCTTGGGTTGCTGTCCGGCAGCTGCAGCACCAATTGGGGGGTTCGAGCTGGCAGATTGCGACTGTGCCGAGTCCATAGCTGCGCCATTTGTGTGGTTCGCATTGGTATTCACATTCGCATTATTAGCATTGGAATTGGAATTGACGTTGGGATTGGCATTGGAGTTTGCAGCATCGGCCTCAGCACCGTTCTGGAGCGGCGGAGCCATCGAGGTCGAGGTCGAGGCAGACGGGCTCATGTCCATGGGGTCACTAGGACTGACAGAGTCGCCTGCGGGGCCCGAGGGGGAGAGCAGTGGTATAGTTCTTGATTTCGCAGTGAGATCGCTGACGGGAGGCGCATGAAATGGATTTCGCAGGGGAGGATCGAGCATGCGGTTCATGGTCAGAGAAGAAGTTGAGAGCGCCAGAGTGACGGTCGTAGAAGGGGTAGTTAGGATAGCTAGGTAGTGATTATGGTGTGGAGAACTAAAACCGGCCGGTATCGCAAGACGCTCTCTCCAAGGACGGTTTTAAAGGAGACAGATAACGGCCTTGCCTGACCGTTATACGTCCAACCCGTAAGCGAGACGGCTAGGGCGAGGGCCGGAGCAGGGCAAACGGAAAACGAGCGAGTGAGCGAGCGCAGCAGCGGCCGCGGCTAAGGGAAGAACCAGCAGGCTCGAGTCCGGGGAAGCTTGCGCAGAGCGATGTGCAGGGAGACGATATTTTTGACTCGAGGGAGTACGAAAGGCGACCTCCCCCCCGGCCGAGTCCTTGACTTAAGGGCAGGGGTTAAGGGCTGTCGCAGGCCGGCTTTGGGTGGGGGACGGCGATGGACACGCTGGAGCTGGTGGAGCCGTAGAGGGGAAGCAGTCGACGGCTATCGCAGAGGAGCAGCCAGGAGCATCGCATTCGCGGGTGTCCGGCGGTTCTATGCTGTGTTCTGCGGCTGGCCGTTGGAGACGGCGGTGGTGGTTGGCGGTTGGTGGTGATAGTGATGGTTGCAAGTAGATGCGGACTGGCGGCGGCGACGGGAGGTTTGCGCAGGAGAAGCTGCAGCGAGCCTTGCAGCAGGGCCGCGACGACCGCAGACGGCGACGACGGGCGAGAACGAGACAGGACGGATCAAAGGGACGTTTTCGCAGGACTCGCAGGACTCGAGGAGCGCTGTTTCAACGGGGGTGGACGGGCTGCTGGTGCTGGTTTGGGGGCGCCGTCAGTGTCAGCGGAAGAGTCCGAAGCAGCCCTCGGGAAGTTGATAGCTAGAAGAGACGACGAAGAGGAGAAGAAGAGAAGAAGAAGAGAAGAAGAAAAGAAAAGAAAACGACAGATATAAAAAGGAGAGCGAGGAGGCGAGGGCGCCGTTCTTCAGAAGGCCTGGGGGCCGAGCAAAAAGAACTACTCGGGCTGCGTCTGGGACTCTGTATTATTGTATCTTCTACAGCATCAACGCCTACTTACCGCTGGCATGGCACTGCTCGATGGTACTTTTAAGACCCCCGACTGTCCCTCTCGTCGCTCGGACAGACAGACGAGGACTGGACAGGGACTGGGATACGGGGGGTGAGAGGGCAGACAGACAGGTCCAGGGATCAAGGGGCCGCCGCGAGCTGTGCAGAGGAACTATTTATAACAGGAACAGCCAGCAGCAGCAGCAGCAGCAGAAGATGAAACAGTCGAGAAGCTGTCGAGAAGCGGTCGAGACGCAAGAGGGAAGAAAAGGCACTCCTCGCCGGTGCCTCTACTTAGTTATACACGGGGCGGACGAGGACGAATATCGCATTAATATTGGTCGGTAACATAATACCTCGACCAGCTGGATGCCATACATTAGTAGTTATTATTGCCTGCACTCTTCAGCCTCAAAAAGCAGGATCTTCTGGGGGGGCCTCATCGTCACCTCGTTTCCCCTAGTCTCTGCTACTATTTCTTTTCTCTGGCGCCCGTTTCTCCCCCCATCCCTGTTGGTGCTTAGACGGGGCCTGCAGCCAGCAGCTATCACTTCAGCTATCATTATTTGCACTCGAGTTGGAGCCCAAGGCCCCATCGGTCTATGGGTTTATTATGGGCTCATCGGAGGTGCATTGATTCCACACTCGAAGGGGGAGAGCTCCAGTCGACCATGCAAGCGCATCGAGGGACGGCCATGTATGTGCTCCGCATACTCTGTATGTATGTATGTCCGTCTGTACATGGCACGATGTTCTTCCCACCTGGGGGCCGTGTGCTGGCCTGGCCTTGTTCCTGCAGGCCCAACTCCCTCAGAGCCCACCGTATGCAAGAATTCCTTTTTCCCTTCTTGTTGCTGTTTCTGTTTCTGTTTCCCGTTTATCTTCCTTCGCCTCCTTTGGTTTGCTTTCTCCCTTCAGCTTCTCAATCTTGCCTCGACGTTGAGCAGACAGGGGGGTTTGTCAGATCAGGCTGTAACTCGCCCCCATCAGCCAAATCTCTCGAGTTTAACAAAAAAAAATACACACACACACACACCCTCCATCACTCCCCCCTTTATTGCCATCCGCTATTGCACGGCTGAGAGAGAGAGAATGAGAGCTGTGTCTAGTAATCAGCTTTTGTTTAACATGCATGGAAACAGCGTAGATTGGTTCCGCAGAACTTCTCGAACTGGAAGTAAATTTGGAAGTTTCGAAAAACCTACCCTGACTGACAGACGTGAATCTTGTCAGACCCAGTGGTGTGTAGCCCGCCCGCCCCCCTCCCTTCGACCCATGGAAATCCAGAAAAAGAGTGAGAGGGAGAGAGTACACGAATTAGAACAAGAACAGCCGATCGTGGGGATGGCTTCCGACGCCGTGGGTACGATCCGGTGGGCTTTTCTTCTTCCTTTCCGGGCGGGTGAGCTGTCACCACCCCTTATGGGATAGGTCACCTTTTCCCGTCCCTTCAACCACCGAAGGGGCTTGCGATAGGCGGACGCCATCCTTTTGCCCTTTTGCCGATTTCCTTTTTTTTTTTTTTTCCTTTTCCTCCCTTCCCTTTCCGTTTTTTTTCCCTTAGATTTTCACAAGTCAACTCCCTTTCTTCTCTTGGGGAGCTTTGACGGTTGCACAAATACCAGTCCCACGGCCAGTAGGATCTGTTCCCATCCGAAGTTGATATCACCAAAATTGTCTTGGTGTTTCCGTGTGATGCTTGCTGAAGCAAAAAGGATTTCAGATACTCAATTAGCGACCAGCCTTCTTTCAGCTGCTGTGTAGACAGATTCCCCCTCCCCCTCTTCAGTCATAATCGCCATCTTATCTTGTTGAACTTGACCCAGGATCCGTGGTCCCGGGATATGGACCAGGTCGTACGCTCCAGCTGCGCAAAACTGCTAACACTCAAGTAATTCCATGCATATTTATTATTGTGCCAATCCATAACTGGAGCTCGGCTATAAAATAGTCCGAAAAATAGTGTGAGATGGCGCGGCAGATCGAATTCCTTGTTGTTCTCTTCAAGCTGACAAGGACCCTGTTCGTTCCCTTTTTGCGACTGCAACCCTCCGAAGATCACCTGCTTGCTCGACTATGCATGTATACCCGGAAAACGCTGCGTAAGAAATGCATGCACAGAGATAGTTAATGTCACGACCGACCAGGCCTGTCCTTGACAAAAGCTCAAAGCGCGCGCTCGACGATTTCACAGGGATCATCCGATCTTGACACCTCTTGGCTGGAGTTCGTTCGTTCATTAGCTCGTTTGCAGCCCCTGCGATGCTTTTCGCCCAGACTACTCCGTACAAACTTGCAGAGCAACATGCTTGTTCTTCACACAAGGCGGCTTTCTCTTTTCTCTGGAGAATCTTTTGCTCTTGAGTTTTTGCTGTTTCCACAAAATGAATCCCTGTCCCTCAGTCAGGTGGATTATTTGCTTGGGCCCGCGCCTGGAGAAGTTACTCTTCTCCGTGTAAGGATGATGTTGACATCATCTTAACTCTGTCAAGTCTCTGTACATCCCGACACCGCGAATCACCACACAAGCCAACAAGACGATGGCTTAACAGAACGAACTAATACGAGCGGGGTTTCCTGTGAATGTAACTTGTCACCGTGGCCAGTCCTTCATCAATCCCAGCTTGCTGTAACTGAAGCTCTTTAGTGTTTTTTTTTCTTTTCCCTCTTCTCCCCCTTTTTCTTCTCTTCCCCATGCAAATGTCAGAGTTCGACGAAACGGCACAGGCTTGCTCGAAGCTGCTCCCTGCATAATATTGATTTGTGAAAGTCGCACGAC